TTGGACCAGGGGAGGGGAGGAGACCCGGCTAAAAAAAGGTTCCTCCCAGCACCGCCTTCATGGGGAGCTGGGGAGGCAGAAGGCATTAGGAAAATGGCACAAGCAGGGATTGAAACAACCCTGCTCATGCTGGTCCTGACTGCTGTTCCTCTCCCTTTGAAATGTATAAGAGCTGTCTGTGGGTGGCTCTTATACATTTCAAAGGGAGAGGTGCAGCAGGATCCCCCCTTATCAAATAATTGAGTAGTCAATGAAAATTGCATTGACTACTCAATTAGCTGATACATTGAAATTTAACATCCCTAGTACCTATCCTCCTTTCATTCTTATTGGAACTCTGTTATAATTAGGGTCTTTCCACCATCCGCTGGCAACGAGTTCCACAGGCTGACTGAAGATATAATTTCATTTGTTTTAAAACTGCTGCCTATAAATGTAATGGGTGATCTTGTGTATTGCTAATGAAGAAGTAAAAAAAACATTTCCTTATTCAATTTTTCCATACCATCCATGATTTTCTAGACCTCTGTTATATCCTCCTACCTTTAGTCATTTATTTTCCAAGCTGAAAAGTCTGTCTCTTTAATCTCACCTCATATGGAAGCGGTTCCATACCCCTAATCATTTCTGTTGCCCTTCTGGATACCTTTCCCAAATCCAATATATATGCAGCTCTTTGATTAAGGAAATGCGGCTCCTGCTGCTTCTGAGCTGCGCGCCTGGACTGTTCTGCACACGCGCCCAGCGCCTGGAGGGAGAAGTGTGGCGGTGGCTCCGGGACCCAGGCATTAGGTTGGAGAGGCTAGGAGTGCCTGACTCTGGCGGAGAGGGGAGACATTGGGTTAGAGGGTGTGTGTGCCTGGCTCTGGGAGAGGGATGAGGTATTGGCTTAGATCAGGAGTGGGGAGCTCTGGGGGAGCAGAAGGGAGGGATTGGGTTAGAATGGGGGTATGGGAGTGCTGGCTTTGGGGGAGAGGAGAGGGATATTTTGTTAACATTTTGTTTGTTTATTCCCAAATAAAATCACAAAATGTATATAAATTTTATGTCAATAAATGTCATTTTTTTTGAAATTGCATGAATATTATATGCTTATGCAAAATCTCAAACTTACAATGTATCTGAAATTTTCACAGGAAGCACCTTAAACTCAAAAGTCTTCGTGGATGCAGAATAAGGTAGCCAACACAGGTGTCATATTTAAATTTCAGGGCAAAAAAAGAATCAGCATGTACCTGTTTTATACTGTTTCTCTTTAAGGAAAATTCAAAAGCTATTGTTTGCCAGGCTAAAGCAATTATTCTGAGACATGAATCTCTCCCTTATTGTTTTTGAACCTCTCATATTTGCAGTCTGACAGACCTGCATTTTTAGAACTATAGAAAAGCCATAATCTTCATAAGTAAAAAAAAAATGAGGAAACCATACCAGAGATCAATAAGCTGGAGTGAAACAAGCACTTCAAATACTCCTAATTTAGTTCTCAGTTCAGTTTAATTTTAAAATACTCACAGGACATAATAGGGCAGTAGTGTTCAATTTAAAATACATGGTGGAGATTTTTTTTTAAGTGAGAGAGTATTATTGTATTTTTAAAGTTTTTTTTTTTTTTTTTTTTAATTTGATGTTTGTTCCTTGTCAAGTTCTCTACAGATCTATGCACTGGCTGTGAATTTAAGTGACTAGAGACTTTTTATTAGTTTTTGACAGAAATGTCTTATAATGTTGTTTTTACCACTACATTTTGTGTACTGTATCTTTCTATATATAGATATATAAAAATAAATATATAACACATGGCTCTTTGCACTCTGTCCACTGATATTTTGACTCTTCGAGTCTAACTAGTTGGCCATCCCTGAGAGAGGGCAACTAGATATGTGGGCATGCCATGATTTTATATAAAGTCAATATGATATTTTATTTTATTATCTGTTCCTTTCCTAATTATTCCGAATCTTTTAGGTTTTTAGATTGCCACTGAACATTGAGCAAATATTTTCAGGGAGCTATCCACAATGATTCCCAAGATCTTTCTTGAGTAGTAATTTGGGCCCTATTATTTTGTATGTATAGTTGGGATTATATTTTTCTATGTGCATTACTTTGTATTTATCAATATTGAATTCTACCTGTCATTGTGTTGTGCAGTCACCTAGTTTTGTCAGATCACTTTGGAGCTCTTTTCAGTACCTGGCAATGTTTTCATTAGCAAACAATCCTTCAATTACTTGAATGAGACACCTTTTGTTATCATAATCACTTTGCCCCTCTTTGTTTATGAACAAGCTCCCTGCCCCAAAGGCAAATCTGGGAGCAGCACAGGCTCTGTTGCAGTTAAGAGCTTTCTCTGTGGCACTTTAAGCAAACCTCAAGTATGAAATACAGGGGCTCAAACTTCAGAGGAGGTCTGTAGACCCCTGCTCCCAGTCCTCCAGGAGCATGCCTTTTTACTCCCGCTTCTTGGGCATTGTCAACTAACTTGAGAAGTCTTTTTAACCAGTACTAGCTGGCTCTTAATTGGCTCCAGGTGTCCTTAATTGTTTGTAGCAAGTTCATGATTGACTGCAGGTGATTTGATTGCTTTGGAGTAGCTCCTGTTAGTTTACCCACAGAAAAGGGACTTGTTTAATCTGGAGCAAATACATCTGTCCTGTATCCGTCTTCTGTAGCCCTTTGGCCTGACCCTGTCACAGGGCCTATCTTTGCTGCAATATCTATAAGAAATTGACCAATCTGATGGCACCTTATCAAGAGTAGTAGTTACTTTGTCAGTTGTGTGGTTTTTATTCTATGCCTTGCTCCCATACACTCTGGTTGTCACTATTGGTAGGGTCCCATGATTCTACAAACTCCTTGCAAGCACAGGGTTTTGTCCATGTGGAGTAGCCTGCAGGATTTAAGACTTTAGATTGTAAACTCTCTTTGAGAAAGAACTACCTTCCTTCGTACATCTTCTAGTACAATAGAACCCCAGTTCAGACTAGAGAAGCTGGGTACTGCTGTAATATAAATATAATTCCTATTAATAATTATGGCTCTCTATAGTGTACTAGTTGTCTTTTGCTGAGGAAATCAGAGTTGGAGCTATCCCGAATTGCTGTAACCATTTAGAGAAGTGGTCACCAAACAGTAGATCGGGATCTATTGGTAGATCTTGGAGCCTCTGACAGGTGATCCTGACTGGTTCGGCCAAGAGGCTATCAAGTGCCAACACATAGCTGCCTCTCCCCGCACTGCTGCACAGCTCCTAGCCCCCTGCTTGCTGGGCAGGGGAGGGAGAGGAGAGTGCTGAAGTCAGGATGCCCCCTCTCCCACTCTATCCCATCTCCACAGAGCAGAAAGGGGACACAACAGGGCTTCGGATGGAGGGAGTTTGCTGGCTGCTTTTGGGAGTGGTGCAGGGCCAAGGCAGAGGTGAGCCTGCCTTAGCCCCACTGCACCCCCACGTAGGAGCCACTTGAGGTCAGCAGGGCCCAGCCAGAGCCCACATCCCAAAACCCTACCCAATCATGAACCCCCTCCTGCACCTCAAGTCCCTGCCCTAGCTCTGAGCACCTCTGCATCCCAACACTCTCCCACAGCCTGCACCTAGAATCCCTCCTGCACCCCAACTGCCTGCCCCAAGCTCAGAGCCCCTCTCTCACTCCAGATCCCTTAACCCAAGACCGGAGTCTGCACCTTAGCCTCAGCCTGGTGAAAGTGAGGGAGGAGGGGGGAGAGAGGACGGAGTGAGCAGGGGAGAAGGGGCACAAAGAAGGTGGGGCAAGAGTATTTGGGTGTGAGGTAGATCTTCAATTGCACTTAAATTAAAAAAGTGATCTTGTGCTTTAAAAGGTTAGAGACCACTGATTTAGCTTTCAAGTCATGGGTCTTCAGAAGGTGAAATACTGGAGTGCAGGACAACCTGGTATTGTCTCAAGCATGAAGCAGCATGATGTAAAGCAGTGTTGCTGAATCGTCGGTCTATGGGTTGCCACAGTTCCCTGAGAGATCTCCCTGACACAGTTTAGGAAGGAAGTAAACAGGTCTCTTGTATCAAAAAGGTTGACAAACATTGATATAAATTGTGGTGGACAGACTGTGGCTTACCTCAATCTGGTCCTCAAGCTCCCGCTGCGGAGCAGCATTGGTGGCTTGCCCTGCTTTGCACATGCTGTGGCCCTATGTAGCTTCCAGAATCAGCAGCATGTTTCCCCTCTGGCTCCTATGCATAGTGGTACCCCGAGGGCTACATGTACTGTTACTGACCCAAGCATCGCCCACATAGTTCCTATTAGCTGGGAACTATGGCCAGTGGGAGTGCAGCGGTAGCACCTGTGAAAAGGGGAGGTAGGGTAAAAAGCCACATAGGAGCTGGCTGGAACCGGGAAATGCTGCTGCTTCTGGGAGCTGCTTAAGGAGGTAAGCATAGCCTGGAGTCTGCACCTCAAAGGCTCATCCTGTGCCCCAGCCTCCTGACAGGCCTGATCTCTCTCCTGCCCTCCAAACCCCTTGGTCCCAGCCCAGAGCACTCTCCTGTGACCCAATGTCCTCCTCTGCCGCCCCACCCCAGAGTCTGCACTCCCAGCAGGAGTTCTGCTCCTCAACCCCGATTTCATGAGCATTTATTCATATAGTTTTCATATCCTGATGGGGCTCTCAGGTCAAAAAGTGTGTCTGTTCCTGATATACATTCCAGTGGAACAAAGATGGGAGCAATGGTTACCGAGTCCTGAGTTCTAATGCAGAGACTGCCACGGATTTTACTATGTGGCCTTAGATAGCTTTATCCCTCAACCTGTTTACTCTTTTGTAAAAGATAGTTACCTAACTCATAGATGCATTGTGCTGATTGATATATGTGTAGCTCTTAGAAAGTTTAAAACCTACAGAATAAGAGTTGCTTTTTTATTGAGATAACACCAGAGTCATAATTTTTTTAACCTGCTTGACACTGTTCTAGAACAGAGTGATATGTACCTTTTCTTGCCTTCTCAGTTTTGGTTATTTTTTCTTAGACTGGCAAATAAGCAGGACCGAGAAGGGGCATTAGCAGAAGCAGATGTAATTGAGTGCTTATCCCTGGAGAAACTTGTCAATGAACATAAATGCTTGTGTCAGATCGTAAGTATATCTTACAGTTTTTATTAATATAAATGTAATTCTTGAGAGAGGTGCTATTACTGTGATCCTTTAATCCCAGCAAAAATACAATATGTGTGTGTGCAGTGCAAACAGTCCCAGGTCTCACCTTGCCTTTGTGCCTCTTGCCTGACCAGGAGAAATCTTTTCTAGGGCCCCATTTATAAATAGTCTTAGGCTGTATTTGCAGAACCAGTTTGAAATTATATTAAAATTATAAAACAATGTAAAAGTCTAGCCCCTACAAGTCCACTCAGTCCTACTTCTTATTAAGCCAATTGCTGAGAAAAACAACATTTGCAGGAGATAATGCTGCCGGCTTCTCATTTACAATGTCATCTGAAAGTGAGAATAGGAATTCCCATGGCACTATATTACTTATGTGAGGTGAATTGAAAATAATTTCTTTTATCATTTTTTATAGTGCAAGTATTTGTGATAAAAATGCAAAGTGAGCACTGTAGATTTGTATTCTGTGTTGTAATTGACGGGGCTCGACAAATAATGTAATCTACTCACACATGGCGAGTAGATTACAATCCAGAAGAGCCGACACAGAGTGATCTGTGCATGTGCAGAACGCAGAAATGCGCGAAACCGCGCAACTGGCGAGTGGGGCTCGCCGCTGCTTGGCTAGCCCTGGTAATTGAAATAACCATATTTGAGTGTAGAAGAACATCCAAAATATTTAGTACATTTCAATTTGTATTCTGTTGTTTAAAAATGCAATTACAATTGTTGATTAATCATGATTAATTTGAATTCATCACATGATTAATCGATAGTCTATTTAAAATGATTCATTCTAACTTGATTTAAAGATCATTTGGTCAGCCAATATTGTTAGGTGCAATTCTTGTTAAAACCAAAAGAGGAAACTATTCAGATGTTGGATTGTTATTGGAATTGAAATACTGTTTCCAAATAAGATTTTGGACCCATGTTTGTTTTGTTAGGCTTAACCTTCTTCAAATGGAGTTGCCATCTAAAAAACTGGATCTTTTTGTGAAACAAATTGATGATGGAGTTGGTCTTAGTCCAATTTGCCAGTAAAGAAGCATTCACAAAGAACAGAATCCTAGCCAGGGCTAACTGGCCTTCTCAAATATAACTGCAGGTTGAACCTCTGGTCAGGCAACATCCATTGTCCAGCATGTTTTTACTTAGCCAGATGGTCACTTATCATAGATGTGGCCAAGTTCCCTGTGGTCCCATGAAGATGGGTTTTTTTTGTTTTTTTTTACAGCCACTAGTCCTGGCGCTCAGTTTTCTGTGCTGGTTTTTTAGCTCTAATTTACCCCCAAATGTCCTCTAATAGGCCCGTAAGAAGTGGGAGTGTTGGTAATGCTGCTGGACAATATTGACATCCCGTGGTTTGACACCGGTCAGGTCCTGAGGGTGAAGACTAGAGAGAGATTCAGCATGTAGTCTCTCATGTAATGGAACTTGTCCGTGCCCCCTTCCCCACTCAGAATCCTATTTGGAAGCTGTGGCCAGGAATGGGGTACAATGTTCTGAAATGATATACAGGTTGGGCGTCCCTGGTCTGGCATGGTTGTGAGCTGGCCAGTCCAGAATGACAGAATTTGCCAGATCAGGGGATGTATCCTCTGCCACAACTCCTGAGCCAGACAGCCCCCTGCCTCTGACCCTCTCTCCCCTGTTCTGCTGCTGCTGGCCCTTACCCCAGGCTACCTTTGGCGGCTGGGGTTCTTTGGCCCTGGCCCACGCTGCTGCGTGTGGCCAGATTTTCCCCAGCACTGTGCTGTCACAGGTGGTGGGGCTTCTCTGGCCCCGCACTGCCTCTGGCTGTCAGGATTCTCCAGTTCTGTGTTGTTGTGGACTGCCGCAGGCAGCTGGGTTTCTCTGGCCTCCAACCCTGCACTGCTACATGCACCCAGGGTTCTCCAGCTCCCAACCTTGTGCTCCTGCCGGCACCTAGAATTTCCCAGCCCCCAGCTCAGTGCTGCCATGGGCTGTTGGGATTCTCTGGTCACTGGCCCAGCACTGCTGTGAGGCTCCTCCAGCCCTACTAATCCTGGCCCTCCTGCTATTGGGCTCCAGAACTGTCTGGTCCAGGAGCATCCATGGTCTTGCCAGGCCACAGATGTTGCTGGACCAGAGAGTACTGGTTTTCACAGATGGAACTGTAATGACTATTTTTTTCAGAAGTTCGGAGGGCCCTTGCACTCACTGAAGTTTCCCTTCTCCACCTCCCCCCCTTTTTTTATACTTTCTCTTTTAAATTTACAGGAGCCTTGCTCGGCTGTCATGGGATATGGGAAAAAAGTTGACAAATCTATAAGGAAAGGTCTGTATTGGCTGCTACATACTATAGCAAAAGATTTTGATGCCTTAAATGAGCGCGTCCAAAAAGACACAACAGAGCAAAAAGCATATGAGGAACAAGAGAAACGAGAACGAGCTGAACGAGTAAGGAAAATACGAGAAGAAAGGTATTCTACCATCTTTGGCTCTTTCCTCTGAATGAGGAGTTTGCATGTATAAAATAGTCATGTTAATTATTCAAATTCTTGAATACTCACTACAAAATAAAAGTTCTTTAATATTATAAGAAAAGACCTGAAACAGACTAGTCAAGTTATTTGTTTGTTAGAACTGAAAACAAATTGCTTGACATGCAACTTTGAGACCATCTTCTCTAGGATGATCTGTGAGTGCTGTCAATGGCAGACAGGCAATAGCTAGAGTTAACAGAGTCACTACTGTTACTTGACTGGGGTACCCTAAATAGATTCTGTTGTTTGATGCAAGGGTAGCTTTTGGGTCTACTCTATCACAAGTTGTAGCAGTGTAACTAAAATAAACTTTTCAATCCATCTGTAAATAGCAGAAGGCCTGTGAGGACAGAGAAAGACAGGTGACTTTTTTTTTTGGCAAAGTTGTTGCTACTTTATTTACCATCATATAAGCCTCCATGAAAATACCCAATAAAGGGAGGAGGGAAGCAATGCAAGGATTTATTACCTCTCTTCAAAGCTCTCGATTGCCATTGGCAGTCAGTCTTGGCACCTCTTACAGATTATGTAAATTGCCCAACTGGGAATATCCCTCTAAAGGTGCTCCTAAAATGCATGACTTCCATCTCCTCCAGTGTCTAGCCTTTAATACAGCAGCGAGCAACATGTGGCGGCTAGGCCTTGTGTGACCAGCGAGACGTTTTATTTACCATTGCCCATGCACAGGGTTACCAGATTCTGCTGCTTTCCATCTGCATAGTTTTTTTCCATCTGCATAGTGGTGTTACTCAAGTGACATGCATATGAAGTCAGGTGTGTGCTGATTGCACACAAAGTTGAGAGACCTGTGCTTCCTCTGCATCCAGTTGAAACGCTGCTATAGTTCATTCAGCACTCCTCGCAAATTTTAAGTATGTAAGCACAGTTAGCAAAACTATCCAACGCTGTGAGACTGTCTTTGTTATGACAGACTTGAGGGGCCACTTATGTGAACCACTCACTAGCCTTAGTTGCCCATCACTGCCCTAAAATGTATGCCATATATAAAGGCCTTTTCATTTTAATTAAACCGGTCCAGAACCCTATTTGTGCACCAGTGTTCCCTGTAATTTGAGTGTTCGGGTAGCCACCCAGGAGAGAGTCAAATGCCGCCCATCTGATTAGCAGAACGCCCGCAGCCAGTAGCATGTGTTTCTACTGGTGGTGCACGTTCACACATGCCTCAGTGCACTTAACAAATTGTATTCCGCACGTGGATTGAAAAAATACAGGGAACATTGTTGGACACTGTTAATTTGATTTAACTCTGGTGTAATAATTTATTTTAAATCAGCAATATATTAAGTTAAATCAGCATAAGCAAGGCTTAAATTGAATTAATTGGTCACACAAAACTGATGTAAAACCATACCGTTAGTTAAACTGGCATAGTTTTATGTGTTGATTGGGCCTTTGATTTTGTCATGTTCATCTGTCTGGAAGAGGTAATGGGTTACAAGAAATGGTGTCTCAGAGGTATGGATTCCATGTTTTTAATTGACCAATAGCTACTTGTCATATTTGTTTACCCTGGGAAACATTAGTAAAATTGATCAGATTGAATTAGGCTTAAAGGATTTTTTTTGGGGGGGGAAGGCGGGAGGAGAAAGGGGAGCTGGTAAATTTAAAGTGCCTTTGTGGGTAAGGCTGCCCTCTCAGATTATGTAGACTTTGTTATGTCTAACAACACTTGTGGGTTCAGATTTAAGTTCTGTAACGTTCATTTGTCTGTTTGCATCAGATAAATCTTATATCATGAGATATTTGTAAGTATTCATAACTCAGATGGAATTCTATATCAGTCTATAATATCTTCCCTGATAGATTACTGCCGTTCCATTCAGACAGGTCTCCCCAACAGTTCTCTCAAAGTGCAGATACTTCAGAATGCATCTGCCAGAGAACTTGTTTAATCAGTTTTGCTCAGCAGTAAACCTGTTTTCAGGCGTTGCATTGTATGTGCGTTGTTCAGATGATTATAAATCAAAGTAAACCACCAAGCTGCCCATACAAGACTTCAGTGAGTTAGAAATAACCATGAATGGCTTCTGTGAGATGTAGTGCTGTAGTACCAATGCTGAGTTGTCAGAAGCAGTCCCCCATTTATCTTAGTATGCAGGAAATCCAAGGAAAAGTAATCCTAGATAAATTGTAAGGATTTAATGTAGTATAAGTCCCTTTTTTTCTAGCAATTTTTCTAAGTATAGATAATACCCCATTATGTTGGCCAATGCTTCATTCTCCCTAAACTCATGTTTAAAGGCCATGGGAAATAAGTGGGACCTTCAGAAAGGACGCTGTGAAAATGGACAAATCTGAGTTAAAGCACACGAGCACATTCCAGAGCCCTTACTAGGAACTAGGAATGCTAGAGTTTTACTGGTTAACCAATAAATTTGATGCTTATCGGATAATCATAGAACACTAGACCTACATGGGGACGTCGTGAGGTCAAGTCCAGTCCCCTACCATCATGGCAGGACCAAGCACTGTCTTGATCATCCCTGATAAATGTCTGTCTAACCTGCTCTTAAATATCTCCAGATTTCCTCCTTAGGCAACTTGCATCAGTGTTTAAGCACCCTGACAGTTAGGAAGTTTGTCCTAATGTCCAACCTAAACTTCCTTTGCTGCAGTTTAATCCCATTGCTTCTTGTCCTATCCTCAGAGGCTAAGGAGAAATTTTTTTCTCCCTCCTCCTTGTGACACCCTTTTAGACACCTGAAAATTGCTCTCATGTCCCCTCTGAGTCTTCTCCTTTCCAAACTAAACAAGCCCAATTCATTCAGTCTTCCTTCACAGGTCATATTCTCTAGATCTTTAATCACTTTTGTTGCTCTTCTCTGGACCTTCTCCAATTTCTCCACATCTTTCTTGAAATGTGGTGCCCAGAACTGGACACAATACTCCAATTGAGGCCTAATCAGCACAGAGTAGAGTGGAAGAATGATTTCTTGCATCTTGCTCACAACACTCTAGTTAATGCATCCCAGAATCTTGTTTGCATTTTTTGCAGTAGCATCTCACTGTTGACTCAGTTAGCTCGTGCTCCACTATGAGCCCTAGATCCCTTTCTGCAGTACTCCTTCCTAGATAGTTGCTTCCCATTCTGTATGTGTCAGATGGATTGTTCCTTCCTAAGAGGAGTACTTTGCATTTGTCCTTATTAAACTTCATCCTTTTTACCACAGACCATTCCTCCAGTTTGTCCAGATCATTTTGAATTATGACCCTATCCTCCAAAGCACTTACAACCCCTCCCAGCTTGGTATCATCTGCAAACTTAATAAGCGTACTCTCTATGCCAGTATCTAAATTGTTGACAAAGATATTGAACAGAACTGGTCCCAAAACCAGACCCCTTTGGAATCTCACTTAGGTCCTTCCAACATGATTGTGAACTGTTAATACCTACTCTCTGAGAACAATTATCCAATCAGTTATGCACACATCTTTTAGTAGCTCCATCTAAGTTATATTTGCCTAGTTTATTGATAAGAATATCATGAAAGACCATATCAAATGCTTTTCTAAAGTCTAGATATACCACGTCCACTATTTCTCCCTTATCCGCAAGACTATCGTTATACTATCAAAGAAAGCTATCAGATTGGTTTGACATGATTTGTTCTTTACAAATCCATGCTACTTGTTACCTGTCACCTTATTATCTTCCAGGTGTTTGCAGATAAATAATGTCATTGATTAAACTCTGGCCTGTTCCCAGGGAGGCTCTGCTATAGGCTCTGCAGGTTATTTAAGCTTTGTATTGCAGAGCCAACAGCACATGTAATCTCTTTGGAATATCCTGCTAGCAGCCCCATTTGTAGCTTGTAGAGGAAAATCGATCATCAGTAATTCTGCAGATCATAACTCTGGCAGTATGTTGTAAAGAGGGAGATAGCCTGGCCCAAAGTCATTTAGGTTTATAATTGAAAACTAACTACATAAAATAATTACCTTTATTATTGTAGGTTAGCTCAGAACTTTTATCTTTTTGGAGTATGATATTCAAAACACATAGACATATTGTTTAAAAAACAATTTGCAGGATTTGGGGAAAATTAGATGTTCTAATATTTCTGATTCTGTTGCTTCAAAATTCTTTTGTCTTTTTAACAAAAAATAGAGAACAGAACGAGAGAAAAGAAACTGAATGTGAAGGAAGAAGTATATCTAAGGAGGTTGACTCTGAACCAATTTCTGGCAATCCTTTCCAGCCAATATCTACTGTAATCATGGAGGTACGAATATTTACAGATGTCAGTCATGTTGGACCTACCCTTATGTCTGCATAGTAATATAAATCTTGGCTCTTGAGAGTTTTGTTAGTCTATAAAGTTGCATACCCATTGTGATAGCTTTCATCTTGAAAATCTTTTCTTCTTTAGGTGTTTGTTCAGGTTCATTCCATATTAGGTGTGTGCATGACACATTGACTATTGCCAGAGATGTTGTCCCTCAGGGTATCTGTCAAGCCAGCTCTAGCACCCTTTGAACTATAATGGGTGCTTCCAGCCACATACCCTCTTGGTTCTTTCCTATCACCTATGACGGTTGTCCAAATGGTACCTCTTGCACTAGCAAGTCTTTCTTGGTTTTAGACTCTAACTTCATTTTTAGTTTAATGTGAATAATTTATGTAGTTGTGGTATGTTCATAGTATAAATAGTCCCTGTCATTGAGGGACTTCTTTGCTCTTGTGTTGGGCATGCCCTGATGCTCAGGCTTCAAGCCTTCAAACCTATACCTACAAGTGATCCACACTTGGAGGTGCTTGAAGTGCTTGGGGGAGTCTCATGTGAAGAACAGGTGCCAGATGTGTCAGAATATCAGACCCTTCACTTAAAAAAAAAAATCGCTTTTGGTGTTTTTTTCCTTAGGATAAATCTTGAGCAATATCTTAAGAAATTTGGGGGTTTATTTCCAATTTTCTACATTCTTGAAGCTTGTTAATTAGCTACACATGAGATTGACTTTTTTTTAATGGTTTATCGGCATCTATCTTCGTGTTTAGGATGTTTAGAGCAGTTTCTGACACAACTTTGTTAAAATAATATCTTGTACTATTTTTGCTAGAATGAAAAAATAATTGAAAAAGAGAAGAGGCAGAGAATGGACATTGAAAAGGATACCATTGCACTGAAATCTGAAACAGGGCAGGAGCAAATGGACACACACAGCCTGACAAGCAGCTGTAGCCAAAAAACAAACGATTATAGACTGATGGAAACATTCAAATCTGCACTCACACAGCAGTTGGAGCGTGAAGAAGAGGGTGACCAACAAACCTCAGAATGCCTTGAATCAGGTGATAACTCTAATTTGAATATAGCCAGTTTAATGTCATAACTACAACTGTTATATTTAATTTGATTCTTATTTTTTACTCTTTTGTATGTCTATGTGACTTTGTCTGCCATATCAAAAATAAATGAAGGCTACAAATGCACAATTGGTACTATACAAAGGAATGTCGTAATTCAACCAAGAGTAAATGTATTCATCAGTCTTATCCAGTCTTAATCAAATCATTTTTATCAGTACCTTCAAATCCTAAACCACTGTCATTGAGTTGTACTCACCTATCTAAAGACAAACTTTGGGCCTTACATATACATGATTATTTACAATAATAACATTTAAAAGTCAGTTGTATGTGTGTCAAGGCTGTTCCCTACTCTGGCACTTAAAGTGCAGATGATGAGGGGCTTGCAAGAGACTTTAAAAATACCTTGCCACTAAAGGCTTGTGTTAAAATTCCCCAAGGTTACAGATTCCCTGGCCTTGGATTGACAACCTAAGGCGGCATATTTGGGAATTCCTTCCTCTGGGATCCCCTTGAGGTCTTTATCCCTTCCTTTGGAGAGAGCTTGAAAAACTGTTATTTCTCCTATTAATATGGCTTGCAGTCTTAGGCATATGCACACAGAATCTCCTGCCCTCTAGGACACAGGAATCCTATAATGGTAAGGATTATTTTTATTAACAAATCAAAGAAAACAGACTTTATGAAACTTTACTTGGTTGCTAGGTATTACAGAACAACTAATTGAAAAAGGATTAAAACACAGAATTGCTTCCCTGGAATTCAATTTGAAAAGTTAGTGTGAGGGGGTAGTTCTCTGTGCTAAGCATATATCAATCCAGCAAACCCCAAAATAAATAAAATAACCTGATCACGCCTGACTAAACATTCCCTGTTCTACTCACGTATTTGTTCCAAGATTTAGTCCTTCCCTAGAAAGGGATGTCGCTAGATTCTCCATGCCTACGTTTCTGCCTTAAATCATGTCTCCCAACTCTGGTCACAAACTAACAGGAAGGAGGTGTCTGTTTCCAGTTCAAAAACTCAGTCTGTTTCCATTGGCTCTCCTGGCCTCCTGCCAACTCACTTCCTGATTCCTTAGCATTCCTGGGGACTATAGGATCCAGTGTCTGTGGTTTCAACACTTATAGACAAGGCAGGGTTAGGTCTTAAGAGTTAACCACTGTGAAAAGACTTTAGTTAACTGAATGCCTTGAATTTCCAGAAAAGGGTATTATCCCTCCCATTCATCACTATGGGTTATTTAGCACATCAAGACTGCTGTTCATTATATACAAAATGAAAATACTTAGAGCAATCCATCACAAAATGTATAGTAATCAAAAGGACACAGTACTATAGATTTCATTCTTAATAGTAAACTCTCCCCAAAGGCTCTTAAGCAAAATAAGCTGTCAGGGGATAAGAGGGAACTCTCATAGATTGGAAACTGGCTAAAAGATAGAAAACAAAGGGTAGGTATGAATGGTCAGTTTTCAAAATGGAAAGAGGTAACCAGTGGTATCCCGCAGGGGTCAGATCTGGGATCAGTCCTATTCAACATATTCATAAGTGATCTGGAAAAGGGGGTAAATAGTGAGATGGCAAAAATTACAGTTGATAGAAAACTTCTCAAGATAGTGAAGTCCCAAGCAGTCTGGAAAGAACTATAAAAGGATCTCTCAAAACTGGGTGACTGGGCAACAAAATGGCAGATGAAATTTAGTGTTAAATGCAAAGTAATGCACATTGGAAAACGTAATCCCAACTATAAATATAAAATGATGGGGTCTAAATTATCATACTGCCTACATTAAATGATGGGGTCTAAAATATCATAGTGCCTCTGTATAAATCCATAGTATGCCCACGTCTTGGATACTGTGTGCAGATATGGTCACCTTATTTCAAAAAAGATACATTCGAATTGGAAAAGGTTCAGGAAAGGGCAACAAAGATGATAGGGATGTGGAACAGCTTCTGTATGAGGAGAGATTAATGAGACTTGGACCTTTCAACTTGGAAGAGAGACTACCCAGGGAGTGGCAGGGAGAGAGAGAGAGATGATTTAAGGTCTATAAAATCACAAATGGTGTAGAAAAAGTAGGGAAATGCTATTTACTTCTCATAAAACAAGAATTAGGAATCACCAAATCAAATTAATAAGTTTAAAATACACAACATGAAGTATTTCTTCACACAACACATGGCTAACCTGAGGAACTCTTTACCAGAGGATGTTGTGAAGACAAGACTAAAGCAGGGTTCAAAAATAACTCCATAAATTCTGGAATATAGGTCCATCAGTTAGCCAAGGTGGACCTATAGGCAGGGCTTGCCAAGTGGCGGCGAGCTATGCTCACCAGCTTTGTGGTTCGGACACAGTGCATGTGCTTACCATGCTGCGCGGCTGTGCCGGCTTGTAATCTACTCGCCTCGAGCGGTAGATTACACTAATTGTCGAGCCCTGCCTATAGGGATGATGATGTCCCTAGCCTCTGTTTACCAGAAGCTGGGAATGAGCAACAGGGAATGGATCCCTTGATGATTCCCTCTGGGGCACCTGACATTGGCCAGTATCAGAAGGCAAGTTACTAGGCTAGATGGATCTTTGGTCTGACCATACATAGCCAATATTCTGTTCTTAATGTGTGGTCTGTGATCTGTTTTCTTTCTATTTGGTATAGATAATAGTAAAAAGAAAACAAAGAAATTAAAGTTAAAAAGAAGTCACAGAGTGGAACCGGTCAGTTCAGAGGAAGCTGTTCCCAAGAATCCAACGCCACCTCCACCTCTTCCACCAGGTGAGTTAATCTCATGTGGTTAGTAAGTGTGCCACTTCATGAAAGCTGGGCCCTTAAAAGATTAGGCATTTTAAGCACCCAGGGTACCTCTACACTAGCCCTCTAGTTCAAACCAGGGAGGCTAATGAGGGTGACCGAAATTGCTAATGAAGCATGGGATTTAAATATCCCACGCTTAATTAGCATATTCCTGGCCGGTCGCCATTTTGGAAACTGACTAGCCCAAAGTAACCGCCCGTGTCTACACGTGGCAGAGAAGCGGGATTCCGAGATAAACCCCTTAGTTCGAATTAACTGTTACTCCTCGTGGAATGAGGTTTAACAGTTAATTCGAACTAAGGGGTTTATCGCAGAATCCTGCTTCTCTGCCACGTGTAGACATGGGCAGTTACTTCAGGCCAGTCAGTTTCCAAAATGGCGACCAGCCGGGAATATACTAATTAAGCGCGGGATGTTTAAATCCCACGCTTCATTAGCAATGTCGGTCGCCCTCATTGGCCTCACTGGTTCGAACTAGGGGGCTAGTGTATACGTACCCTCAGAGAAAAATAGTTTTCACACAGGATTTTCACCATAGTTTGATTCATTTATTTTGAGAATTGCCCATGTAGATCCCCACTTGTATGTGGCTGTTGAGAATTATCATTTTCTCAATAAATTTTCCATGAGTCTGGGCAAGTTAACCTGCAGGGTATATTTACTCATTTCCTAGTTAGGCCTTGTCTATATGGGAATATTGACCAGCATGGCTGTAGAAGAGGAATATATAGATATAGCTGTGCTTGAATAACTCCCCATTTTGAGGTAATTTATTTGGTATAACTACATATATCAATAATAACCTCTTATAAACTGTTCATATTTATATTTCATTAATGTTACCTTTCTGATACCTTGCTTATCATATTGCGAGCGTTTTTGGTAGGAACAACTGGAGAAAATACAGTTACATTACTTCTTTTCCAGAAAGCCTAAAGAACGCTTAGTGATAAAGCCCATAATTTGCTGAGTATGAAAAATCTGGTTATTAATATGCAAAATGGCTGGTAGAAATCATACACTTCGGTATAATTTGAACATTACTTCTGTGGCAGGGAAAAATATACTGATGGTGGTACCTACAACAGTTAACAAAAAGATACAAAAATATTGCAGAGATGATTTAGAAATGCTTGGTGTACTAATTTTAAGGATTATCTGCTTGTCCTATCTGATTAAAGTGCACTGTTCTTCCAGTTTTTAATTGGTTATCTTTTTCAGTATGTGCATCTGTTGATGGAATCTTTTAGGAAGGTGTAGAGGTGTGTGGAGTTAATGTTAGGTTATAAGTGTAAATCTGGGGATACAAGTGTTTAGTCTTGTTTCTTAACAAATGTGCATGAAAATTCAGTAAGTGCATCTCTTCCAAATACTACAATGTTTTTTCACTATGCTTCACATTACATGTTAAATAATATTTGTTTTCAGTGGATTCACTAGTACACCAATAAAGCATACCTCCCCTGTCCCCAGTTAAGTTCTTGTCTCTGAAAGATCTTTCTTCCCCCAGCTTTTCTTCAGTGAAATGCCATACACTTTTGACAGAGTGGTATGCTTCTTAATGTGTTTGTTTTTCTTTAGTTGGCTGGGGAACCCCCAAAGTTAATAGACTTCGAAAACTTGAACCTCTTGGTGAAACCCGTCATGCTGGTAATTTATTTTTAAAAAGAGCACTGAATATTCACTCTTCTTTATATATTCATTTCATTCTTCACCTTTTAATTTCTTTAATATCTTCAACCAAAAACTAACCTTTTGGTTATTTAAAACTTGTTTTGATTTTCAGTTCATTTTTAATATGTGTTCTCTTTATTTCCTTTTCTCCAGTAGGAATTTAAAGCAGCATATGATGTTATAAATTATTAGAAAATGTTCGTAAATAGCATGCACCTATCTCTTACGATATGCTATATAATACAGCACTAACAGGGCCTATCCATTAAAATTTCAATATTAAACATTTTTTTACTTCATAGTAATTTAAAACACTTAAAACTTAAGTAAATCAAGCATACATTTCAATATATTGTATTGGAAACATGCTGGATGTAAAGAACTTGATTGGACAGTTTCACAATATTTTAAAACAAAGAACTACATTTAATTTTTTTAAAGTAACATGTGGCATCATCCACGTGGACTTTGGCATTGATCTCAATTTTTGTTTTTGTCAGAATGAAACAGGAAGGCATCTGTGCACCTTTGAATTAGATAGTTTACCATGTATTAGAAAATTTCACCAGCTGCTAGGAGGATTAGGCCTTAGTAGCTTGTATTAAAATGTAGGAAATTCCTGATTTTAACTTTTCTTCCTTGATCTGAACTATTATATCTCTTGATTCTAATAACAATTGAAAGATCTATTTAGGGCAGTATTGTTTATTTGCATAAAACATCTCTTATGGCAGACACTGCAAGAGAGTTTTGTATATTGACTGATATTGCAGCTTTCTCCCAGTGCTATAGGAGAAGCTTTTATATGATACATTGTTTTTCTTATTTTTTAGTAGTTTTTTTTCCAGTTGATGAACAATTAAATGCATGTATGTGACATTAGAAAATATTAGAAAATATTACTTTCTACAAGAGACAAAATGTTATTTGCAGTAAGAGAAGTAATCTGTAGTTTATATTGCATCAAATCTTAATCATAAAACCATCTTACTCTTCTTTTAAGGAGTTTAGAGAGAAGACAGAGAGAAAAGCCAGAAAAGAGGTAGGGAGGGAAGGGAAGGGGTCATATTATTTGCTTACATCTAATTTACTCATAAGTGAGGCTTTCTTGTTTTGTGGCTAGAGCATGGAACTGTCAATCAAGAGACTTAAGTTCTGGTCTCAGCTCTGCCACAGGCTATGTGACCTTGTACAAATCATCTAACCTCTGTGGTCCTCAGTTTTGCAATCTGTAAAACTCTGATAATACTTAAAGCATTTTGAGATCCTTGGATGAAAGATACTGTGGGAGTAACTCCTTTTGAGTACAAGTATCCATTGAAGACCATGAGATTAGGGATCTATCAAGCAAGTGCAAAATATTGTTTACCCTTTTTCTTCTCTGGAATTACTTAATTAGTGCAAAGTTTCCCAGTAACTAACTCTGTGAAACAGCTTTTTGAGTGCTAAAGCAGTGAAATCCATGGTGTGTTGTGATTATTATTTTTTTTAATTCCTTTAGTCCCCTGTTATAAATATCACTTGCTGAAGTTTAAAAACTGAAGTTCGTCAAATATGCTAGTGTACATCCCACGTTAGGCGTTCAGGTGAATGAGATCACGTGTTTTTGAATAACTATCTGTTGGAACATCCATGCTCCTTGTGCTGCCTTATGCTCCCATGTAAGGGTATAAAGGGTAGAAAGCAATGACCCTCTTTCAGTTTCGCTTATTGCCCAGGGCAGCAAGAAGAAATCCGGTGAATGTTCAATGTGTTACTCTTCTTAGAGATTTTAAATTAGGACTGTCAAGTGATTAAAAAGTGGCTGCACGGTTAATCACACTATCAAACAATAAATATTTATTTAAATAAATATTTATTTAAATAAATATTTATTTAAATAAATATTTATTTAAATAAATATTTATTTAAATAAATATTTATTTAAATAAATATTTATTTAAATAAATATTTATTTAAATAAATATTTATTTAAATAAATATTTATTTAAATAAATATTTATTTAAATAAATATTTATTTAAATAAATATTTATTTAAATAAATATTTATTTAAATAAATATTTATTTAAATAAATATTTATTTAAATAAATATTTATTTAAATATTTTTGGATGTTTTCTACATTTTCAAATATATTTATTTCAGTTAGAATGAAGAATACAAAGTGCACAGTGCTCACTTTATATGTATTTATACTTGTACGGTAAAAAAACCAACAACCTATCCTTCAGTTCACCTAATGCGAGTACTGTAATGCAATCTTTTTAATATGAAACTTAAAATATGAAAGTGTAAAATTTATGCAACCCTCCCGCCCCCAAAACCCTGCATTCAGAAATAAAACTGTATAAAACTTTAGAGCCTACAAGTCCACTCCTTCTTGTTCAGTCTTAATTACAGTTTGCAGGAGATAGTGCTGCCCACTTTTTTTTTTACCATGTTAGCTGAAAGTGAGAACAGTTCACTGTTAGCTGTCATTACAATATATTTGTGCCACATGTATAAAGATTCACGTGTCTCTTCATGCTTCCATTCCAGAGAACGAGTCCATGGTGATGATGGGTTCTTCTCAATAATAATCCAAAACAGAGCGGACCAATGCATGTTTATTTTCATAATCTAAGGCAGGTACTACCAACAGATATTGATTTTCTGGTTTGGTGGTTCAATTCTGTAGTTTCCACATTGTAGTGTTTCTTTTTTAAGAATTCTAAAAGCTTGCTCCATACGTCGCCATCCTCAGATTTTGACAGCACTTCAGATTCTTAAACCTTGGGTTGAGTGCTTTATCTATTTTTAGCTATCTCACCCTGGAACCTTCTTTATGTTTTGTCAAATCTGGTGTGAAAGTATATTTAAAACGAACATGAACTGTGACTATCACATGAAGTATATGGCAAAATGTGTATAAAACAGAATCGGAGACATACAATTCACCTGCAAGGAGTTCAGTTACAAATATAATTCACACATATTTTAATGAGCATTATCAACATAGAAGCATGTATTTTGGAATGGTGGCTGAAGCATGAAGAGGAATATGAATATTTAATATATTTGCCATGTAAATACCTTGCAACTCCAGCTATGAAAGTGTGATGAGTACACCTATTTTCACTTTACGGTTACATTGTAAATAAGAAGCGGACACCATTATCTTGCATAAATATAAACAAACTTATTTTTCTTAGTGATGGCTGAACAAGTAGGATTGACCGGATTTACAGGCTCTCATGTTTTTACATTATTTTGTTTTTGAGTGCACTTCTGTAACACAAATGTCGAATGTTTAAGTTGCCCTTTCATTATAGAATTTTCATACTAGTACTGTAATGCAGTGAATAAAGATGACTTTTTATTATATTTACAGTGTATTTGTAATTTAAAAAGTAAGTATTGTGCCTTTCTGTATTGTCTTGCAATAGAAATCGATATATTTGAAAATGTAGAAAAACATCCAAAATATTTAATACATTTCAATTGGTATTGCTGCTTAATGTGATATTACAATTTTTAATATTGTGATGAATTTGAGTTAATTGCATGAGTTAACTGCAATTAATTGGCAATCCTACTTTAAATCCTTTCTTTTCAATCAAGTCTGTGAAAAAATCTTTCTATTCATGTGCTAGTCATTGCACATTTCTTTAAAAATCATTACCGTTGAGTCCTCGGTGCCTCAGGGTAAGGTGTCCTTTTTCACTAGCGCACTTTGCACTAACTGCACTTTAATAACAGAATCCATGCCTTCACAGATTAACCCTTGCCTGTCCTGTAACAGATTCATCCCCGTTTTGATGTACACAATTGATGTCTATTCTGTCTGGGGGAGAAACATATTCCTCATAGGTGTTTGGTATCCAAATGCTTTTCTCCAAGTCGAAGGATGCATGACTGAAGCTACACCTACTTGAGCACTCCATGAGGTGTAGGGGATGACCACCTCCGAAGAGCAACTGAAAGTCATCATTAGGTATGAAGCATCATTAGGTATGAGCATTAGGTAGTGCTCCATATCACAGAGTCCAGTAGTGAAAGAATGGCAGGGAAGAAGATTATGCCAAAATTAGCACTGGTTATGTTCATATTGACTATATCTTACATCACCAGTCACCACTGCACCAATGTTGACAAACCCCATCTTTGGTAGCAGTACTTCTAATGTAGTCATCAGAGCCAACATGGTGCACCGACAGAACAGTAAGACCAAAAGAAAGTGGAGCTCAAACACAGCTCTAAGCATCAGACACCATCCTGTAGGGAGAAACATCTATGCTACTCCAAGTTAAGAGCATCTGAGGATGGAATAAAATGCAATAAAAAAGCATCAACACTAGCATCAGTGACGGCACCAGCACCGACCGCTGGACGTTTACTAGCCATGAGTATGCTCTTTCAGAATTGTCAAGATTCCCTCTGGGAACATAATTTGTACCAAGGCAGTGCCCAGCATGAGAATTGGATCTGAGCTCTCGCTCCATAGCACTGTCATGTCTCTTCTTCAGCAGCACTGGATGGTACCCTGCTCCAAGGCATTGATCAAAGATGCCTTTCCTCTATCTTTTGAGAGCAACCCTCGAGCTGATACCAGAGATCACTCTCATGAGACACTGCCACAAAAGATACTTTAGTCGCATTGGGCCAACAGCTGCAACTAGGCCAGTGCTGGTTTAACATGTTGCCCTGTCCACAATGGCCTGAGTGGGGACAGTCATCTCAGGTGTCTAGTAGCATAACTTCCTGGAAGAGGACAACAGGCTTCTGTGTGACATCACTATTCAGACTACCTACATCAGAGAAGTCAAAGTCAAAACTGAACAAAAGGCAAGCCCAAAACCAAACACTCCCAAAAGCTGGCCCTTTTTGAGTGCAAAGACCACTCATCTGCTTGACTTCAACTCCATGTGGCAAACTAAGAAGAGTCGTTTGTCAGAGAAAATTTCCTCACCTGGAAAAGTGTCATCCCTTTATTCTTGCATGAACCACATCTAACACCACATAGGATGACAAAGTATTCAATTCCTTGAAAAATTTAGTGGTGTCACTAGGGATTTATTCCTTACACACAACAGGAAGCCCTACAAATATCAGCTTGAACAGAGGGATAGAAGGCTCACCCCAGTTTTCAGAATAGGCACCCAGTATATCTACCGCAGAAACCATTGCAATACTTGAGATCATCTGCCTTCTCTGTTGCCCACCTCACCCCATCAGAAAATCTGTCCCCTGCCTGGGGACAGAATCAATGGACACAAATCGGATATAGGTAAAGGGAATATACAGCACTCTGTTGGTGAGCATTTCAGCTTGCCTAACCACAGTCTGACAGACCTGCAAGTAGCTGTCTTGTCACAAACCAGCACTACAAGCCAAATACACAGAGAAGCCCTGGAATCCCAGTTCATCCACAAATTCAATTCACATGCTAATGAACTCAATCATGATATAGGCTGGTGGGGACTGAAGGTGCTAACAGCTCCCTGAGTGGTTTTTTAGGAATCTATCTATTGACTTTGATTTTTATCTGCTTAGGTTTAAATATCCATTCTCCAGATACTTAATGATGCTCTGTCTCCCACCCCGGCCCCTTTTTCTTTCTCTCCCCCTCCCCTTCCCTGTTTATTTCGAGTTTTCATATCCCCCAACTCTTAACTCCCTCCAGTCATTGGAAGAAGTGGGCTGTGCCCAGGATAGCTCATGATACCATCTACATGTTTAGTTAGTCTATAAAGTGCTACCAGACAATTTGTTGTTTTCTTTGCTTTTTTAGTTACTCAGTGAGAGGCTTACTCTATAACAGAAGCCTCTCAAAAGCTTTCATTACCCTGTTAGGATTCACAATGGTTCTGTCAGCATTGTGCTCCTAATTCTTTTCTGACACTGCTATGAAAGGAGAGTAACTTGTTGATTTACAGTCAGTGGATTTAGATCAGTGTAAAACTAACCTTCAGTAGCTGTTCTTATCCTAAGTGCTATGGTTTAAATAAAATAAAACCCTGATCCTGCTAATGTGTACTTAAAAAGTGCCGTAGACCTGAGTTTGCTTGATTTTGTTAGTTCTAGACTCTTAAAAACACAGATCATTACTTTTTTAGATACATGACTTAACAATTCTTAAATTTTGTAATGGCAAGCTGTAATTGGTTTAAGACTTACAGGTCTATTGTCAATACTATTGAAATTGAGTTTCAAAGGCATCAAAAAGCTGCTTGGACATTTTCTTGTTTTCCACCTGTTTCTTGTTACCAGCCATTCTTGACACTTTATTTTATTTTACGTATTTTTCATGTACTAATCTGTTGCAGGTTTGTAAAAATAACTATGTAAAGCAGGCTCTGTTTCTTCTGTTTTGTCATGTTGCAACTTAGTGCAGGGAGCCAATTTTTTTTACAGTTTGGACCTCTCTGGTCTGGCATAATCGGGACCTGACCTGTCCCAAACAAGAGACTTTACCAGATAAGAGGAAGTCTCCTGCCACCTATCACTCGCTGCTGGCAGGCTGCCCCAGCAGGCAACCCTGCCTCACCCTCCTCCCCCGCAACCTGGCTGGGCTGCTTGCTTAGCTACTGCTGCTCCCTAGATAGCCCAGGCTCCGGCTCTTGCCATGGGGCCCCATTCCTGTGTAGCTGGGAGCAACCGCGTGGCTGGGGCTCCAACCCTGGCCCCATTCCTGTGCATTCTTTCTTCAGTACTTTCTCAAATCAGAGCCTGCTAAGGTTTGTGAAATCAGGTGTCCAACAATCACTGGTCATTTTTGAAACATTAAGCCCAATTTTATTTGCAAGAAGAGATGTCTATCATTTTGAAGTTGCATAATTGCTAGACGTAGATATGCATATGTCTGCAGTATTCAGTAGTGCTGTGTTTGGGTGTTTTTCTAAATGGTTGCTCCTACAAACACTTATTAGGTATAGTGCTTAATGTGATTATCCTATTTAAATCAGCAGTACTACGAGCATTTGTAAATGTTACACATGGAAGTAAGCATTTTCAGGGTTTGGCCCTAAAATTGTGGGTTTTAACGCAACAAGAATTCAACAGAATTAATCTGTTCTTCAAAAGATGTTGTAAATTTGATACTAACATATTTTTCTTCTGGTGTGTTTCTTAACATAGATTTCTATGGAAAGCCTTTACCTCCATTGACTATACGGCAGAGACCGAACAGTGACACCCATAATGTCATTTCTTAACAAGATCACATGCTGCATTTTTAATCACAAAATGACATTAAAGAGTTTTCCTACTTAAAAAAAATTGATATTGCTTAAAAATTGCTGAGAGATGAGACAATAAGAACCCATTTTGTTTTCTGTTGTGGGTTAGTTCTACTGGACTTGATTAATCGGATTTTCTACTGGCATATTAGTTACCGTTCACATTCTCACCAGCTCTTCTTCAGTGGTTAACAGGGTGATGGAGAACAGAAATGTTTGAGAGCACTTGCATGCACATGGAATTTGGGATCAGGTTGGTACTGTTAGGTTTCATATTGGGGTTTACTTGCCAGACTATATAGCTGTAACCCTGAAGAAGAACACCTTCAAGACCAAATGCAGTTGGATTGTGTGTGCAGATCAAGACTGTTGTTCAGATATTGTGTAGTAATCTGTATTTCTACAGATAATTTTAAGGCATTTTGTAAAGTGTGTGCATGTTAGAGTGAATATAGGGAATTATATGCTATAAATGTTAACTATATTTTTATAATTTTTCTAATATTTGACTTGGGAATTTGAGTTAACATTAATGCCTGTTACTCACCATCAGAATGGTGCCTAGGAAATGTTACACATGTATTAATAGCTTTACCCATCTGAGTATATTGACTTCTATGTTTACCCTACAATAGCAATACATTTTGGCTGGGATTTACATCACCAGTTACCCTAGCTGTTCATACATTGCCTTTCTGGAAGTCTGAGGTTTTTAAGAAACTGATTTTACACATAATTATGGTATTTGAAAGGGCTGTTTAAAAGTTTTCTTGTAGATTATTTTGTTTTGTTAAATGGGAGATGGCATGCATACTAAATGTGTGTTCAAATATCTTAATCAAATATATTATGTGCTATAAGATACAATTGCACACACTTGAGATTTTGAACTGCAAGAATTCTGGTGAAAAATTATATCAGTCCACATATTTATTTAACATGAACTATAAAACACTGAAAATGGCATATTGAAAATGTAAAATCAAAGCATTTTAATCCAGAGTAATGAGCCCAATTCTGACCTTCCAAATATGCCCCTCGTTTAAAAAAAATAGTGGTATGTTGAAGGAGAGAATTGGATTTACTGTACTTAAAATGTTTTGATATGTCCGTATTTTGTTACATTTGGGAGAATTTCTATACCATGCGTGTACATATACCGTATTTTCCGGCGTATAAGACGACTTTTTATGCTAAAAAACATCCCCCAAAAATCGGGGGTCGTCTTATACGCCGGGTATACAGGCAGTCCCTGACTTGCAGGTACGAATGGGGCTTTTCTCGCCCCGGAGGACACGGACTGCGGGACCTCGCGGTCCCGCCGCCTGTGTACTCCGGGCGAGAAAAGCTGCTCCAGGTCTCCCTGGTCTGCAGACCAGGAAGACGCGGAGCAAAGCCGCTGCCCAAGCCCCTTCCCCTCCCCCGCGGGGGGGCTCGGGCAGCGGGGCAACCCAGGCACGCCTGGGCTGCTCCGCTGCCGGCTTCCCCGAGGCTTTGCAAAGCCACGGGGAAAGC